GGGCAGAGGAATTATGTCGAGTTAAAAGTCTCACCGGGCCCCGAGATTTGAACTCGTAATTAGTTTTCCATCTCTAGCTTTGTCGGGCATTATTAAAAGGTTGCATCTTGCAGTAATAACAATATTTCTGTCATCTATTGATATAATCAGCTGAGATCCACTAACATGTCTTCTATTGGTATTTCCGGTTTCTTTGAATCTGGCTAAAGCCTGGTCTCCCATACTCAGGAGGATGCCAACTGCATCAGCGTTATCATCTATCCGGTGCACTTAACCATCTCATTCTCATGACAAACTCATTCTCACAATAATATTACAAACTTCTGGTTCAATATGATGTCTTTTGGTCATTAAACAGAATATAAACAAATGTTGCTTTGTACAATTAGTATTATTCATGTCAACTACCCTTTTGTTAATAATTTATTAAAAATAAGGAATATTTGTTGTTCAATTTTTATGTTTACCAACAAATAAAAGACTCCATAACAAAAAAACAAAATAAAGGGAAGTAAATTTTAATCTGGGATATTAAGTTCCCTAAGAATAACTACAATGAACAATGAATTACAATTATCTGATATTAGAAACAATTATAGAATAAATTAAATTACAAAGTTATCTAAATCTAAACCTAAAAATGGAAGAAAAAGCACTAGCTGACATATGAAATTATAGATAAATGCATATGATTGAGTTCACATATTTGTACACATAAGCGATAATGAAATATGATATAATGATAAATAAAATAATATATAATTATTATGACAACTCTAAAAAGCGATAACATTATTTTCACATATATTTGGGAGATTGATTGTTGAAATGGAAAAATAAATGGTGTGTCCAGAATGATGGAGGTTGGTAGGGAATTCCAAAATAAGATAGCACACATGAAAACGATTTTTTTAAAGGAGACAATTCTATGAGAATGAATAAACAGGTTTGAGGGCTGGGATTGTGTTTTAAACAAATGGACAGAGGAACAAGGACTAAACAAATTGAGAAGGTAAGAAGGTTTTTTGATTGTAAAGAATCAGAAAAGGAATACACCTAGGAAATATTGCCGTCGTAATAAAGGTTTAAATTTCCCCACAAGAAATATCACTAAAATTAATAATAAAAAATATTGAAATTGGAGTTAGTCATTCTGTCAACTGAAAGACTCAAATATAATCTTGTTTTAACAAAAGTACACTATACATGAAATACTACACAAACCAGCAAAGGTGAATCAACGCGAGAGGGCTTTCCAGCTTAAGCCTTTTTCCCAAAATGGATAAAATTCTTAAACAGTGATAATTTGTTCTATTTTTCAAATTATAATCCATATATAGCTACTAAATCTAACCATATCATATTAAAAAGATATCTTTATTAGTACTATTGTTCCTGTTATTACCTTTTTTAAATTACTTGAAGAATCAGAAGAAGGTTAAAACATCATATCTTATAGGCAAGGGTGCCCATTCCCCCCAAGGTGGATGGTGCAAGAACCTATTCCCCCTCCTCCTCCTTTCAAGATATTTTATTAGTCATCTTAAGAACCGAGCAAGCTAAAGTAGCATTAGTAAAATCTTAATCATATACAATTACACTTGCTGCGGTATGTTCCATGTTTTTCCTCTTGTCACTTAGTCCAAAAATTCATAACCCCGTGGAAATTTGCCCTCCTTAAAATTCAAAATATGCTCCCCTCAAAAATATTGATGGCACAACTTGCGCCATAAAACCCCCTTTTGGGAACCCCTGCTTATAGGTAGTTAGTTTTTTTTATGTTTCTTCCCTAATAATATATTATATATATATATATATATAAAACAGAATGTCCTGTAAGTAGAGGGAAATATTTAAAAGGTTGACAGTAGACTTCAAGATCTACAAAAAAGTTTATACAAACAATTGTCCAATTTCCAGCAGTTAAATAAGAAAATCAAGATTTTTTTTTTTTAAGCAAGTCATGTTTTTGTCAAATAGGAACCGATAACTAAAAAAATCTTTGATTTAAGTAATTAAACATTGCTCCATAGTAAACTAGATAAAATTTACTTCAAACGAAAGTAGAGTTTGTCATTATTAAAACTATTTAAAGCGGACAAACACAGCTAAGTTCCTTTTAAAAATAAATCATTAAGTATTAGTGATTGTTTTTATCACCCTTCAAATGTGCTACAGTTACCCCACTTTTACAAAAACTTCATCGTTTAATGAGCTTTAAGCTCATATTAATTAAGTTGAAATTTATTAGGAAAAATTTTGAGATTCATCTCATGATGTGATTTTCTATGCAGTGTTCGTGTTTTCAGCAAAAATGACTACAATTAGCTGTTGGAAAGCTTTTATTTCTTGTTTTTCTGTGATATGGGATATATTGTAATAAATATAATTGTCTAAAAACGAATTTTATTAATTAAATAAAAAGTTAAAAATAATAATTTTTAAAAATATTTTTCATGTTAGGTGGTTATAAAATTGTGTTTTTCTTCCAGATTTCTGTCATAGGAATGATGTGTATTTATAAGTGACAAACTTAATGTTTCAAGCTCTAATATGTACATTTTAATGAAAAAAAATTAAAGCAATCAGTAGGTTTCTTTATTTTAAATATAAATTTTAGTAAGAAACATTAAGTTTGTCATGATGAATACAAATCAATTCCTATGACAGAGATCTGGGAGAAAAACACAATTTTATAACCACTTTACATGAAAAATATTTGAAAAATCACTATTTTTAATTTTTATAAATAAAATGATTTTTAGGCAAATGATTTTATGTTTATTACAATACATCCCATATTACAGTAAAACAAGAATTAAAAGATTTCCAGCAGTTAATTGTAATTAATATGAACTTAAAGCTCATTAAACGAGGGTTTTTTTTATAAAAGTGGGATAACTGTAGTACAGTTGAAGGGTGATAGAAAAAAATAATATATGATTTTTTTTTTACCACATATATGAAAGGCGAAAATTTAGATAAATTTAAAATATACTTTTTTAATTTTTGAGACTAAAAAAACCTTTTTTCTACAGATATTTAATAAAGTATCTTTCCTAAGAACATTTTTCATAAGAAATAAGTAACTAAATTTATACCTTTATTCTCAGTGCAATCATCACCTCCAGAATCAACTTACTCATATTCTGCATAGATAACTTTTTCAACTAAAAATATCACTAAAATGACATCACTTAAAAATATTGAAATTGGAGTTAATCATTCTGAAGTTTATAAAAGCAAAGAAAGTTGTGTGGTTTATAAAAGCAGATGGAGTGACTAGATTTTTATTCCCTGTTGTCGATATATTAAATAGACATTTTGTAATTATAATGGTCTTAATGAATTGTAATTAAATGAAATGAAATTACACGAACAATTAAATGAAAATGAAAATTAAATGAAATGTAATTACACGAACAATAATACTTTAAGAGATAATTTTTTAATATTTGTTCCATAAAACATGGTTATATTTTACCATTTTGGAGAGGGAAGGGCTTCAGGCTCAAGTCCCCCCCATGTCACAGATGGGCAAAAAAGAAGATATTTAAAAACGAGAGTCTGCCAGTCGGATCATGCTACTTGATTATAGAATATCAGATCAGCATTTTAAGGATGAAAACGGAAAATTCATCCGGAAAAATGTGGAAAACGTTTTTTTTTAACTTGTACATATAGATTTAGAAATGTAAATAACAGAATTGCTAATGCGGTCTACTAAGATAAATCTTTTTACAGCCAAAAAAGCCAGATTTAGCTGATCTTTTTTTTCATCTATTACTACTAAAACGTGTTCATCGAAGTGGAAAACGCGTTCTTTAAGAAATTAAAGAACGTTAAATTGTGCTTCTTAATATAAACTTAATAATTTGGTTAAGTTTTATGGTCGATAACCACGGGCAATGAACGCTGATTTTTACCAAATAAGTCAAAAATTGAGACAAATTGCATATTTACAAATTATAAAAAGCGCTGTAGCTTGGAAATGAGTTCTCTAAGATAAAAAAATAGTAGAATAAATTCCGATTCCGATCATATCGGAGACCAAATAATTAGTGCCTTCGTTCATGAAAAAGTCCCCATCAGCACCTATTTTAAGAAAAGAAAAACGCATAGAGCATTTATAAAAAAATATATCTAATGATAAATATACAAATTATTATTGCGTACAATTTTATGAATTGTACGGATTCATCAAGGAGACTATAGTTGCTAGAGATTAAAGAGATTAAATAAGAGGGGGAGTGGGGAACCCCCGGCTGGATCCGCTAGTGCTGGTAACGATAATAATTTTTTTATATCATAATATAAATTTCGTCTCCTAGGATGAATTCTCCTTATATTTCTCTTTTCTTTAAATAATTGCTTTTTGCAACTTTTTCAATTTTTTTTTCCACCTTCCAGGGAAGAAGCAGACCCCACGGCTGGACCCCCACTAGAGCTGGCCAGATTTTCCGGAAATCCGGAGAAAGCAAAGGCAAAAATAAATAACATATATTTTGATAGAAATATACATATATATATTTTCCTCGGCTCCTAGGGCTCAATGGAATAGAACGAATGATGGGATATGTGTCTAATAATTTTCGATGCAGTATCATCACAAAAAATTTGATTGAAATCGGAGACCCACATCATATACCTTCCCCTTGTTAGTTCGCACGTGTGTAGTAGGCTTAAGTGATTAGATTATTGAAAGGAAATGTACTCATCTACAATAAAACCAAGTCACTAATAACTAGCGAATTTACTCGATTAGCCCTAGAATTCACTGATGTCCTTCCAAATCTACATTCCATTACCATTAAAATTAATATTATAGTAATACGTTATTTACTATACTAATATACTAATTATTATAATAAAAAATAATTAAAATATAAAAATGTTGTATTTGGTTGAGTAAAGAAACATGAATCTCATGAAAATTAACTTAAAAATTAAACACAACTTCTTTGTTATTTCTCTTATCAACAACACTGATTGGTATCAGACACACTTCTAAATGTCAGTTAGGGAGTTGTAGCGGGCTCTGTTATGTTATTGCTGTTTTAAAATCGTTACCTTATGTTTTTGTTTCTTTGTTCGAAGGGCGAATTTGTTTTGTATCATATGACTTTTCAATGACGAATTACGTAATATTATTTATCATAATCCATGTTTACTGAAGGTTAGACATACCTTACTTGTCAATTTATGTCATATTGTATTAACCACTGATTATAGTTGAAGAATTATTGTTCTCATTAAATGCTGATAACTTATAGTTATGACTTATGTATGCATAAATTGGTTACAGATGAATATTTTACTTAACAGCTGGACTGTGCTTGTGTTAATTTTATGTATTTCAACATTTGGCTTTTCGTTTTGTGCTGTGACAATACTATGTGTAATTTTATTCATTTCTGGGTATGTACTTCAATAAAATGTTTGTGATAATAGATGTGATAGAATGTATGTTATATACATTTAAATAATTATTGTGTTTACAGAATTTTAACTGTCATGTATATAAAGCAAGAAAAGTCATTTAGTAATTACTTTACCAAGCAAGAAATAGGCCATCCAACGTTTATATATGAGGTAATGTATATAATGATTCTGACCTCTGATATGCACATTATTAGTTATTTATCTTTTTGTTTATTTAATCTCATTTTTAATTCACACCACAGAGAATGAACATTTCTCTCATTTAGGGAAATAAGCGTCCTATTTTCTAGTATTTGATCTGTTTTGTTCGTACTTTTTTCTATCCTCCCAAAACCCTTTGATGTTTTTTCCCACTTGTTCATGCTACTTCCCCCATTTTCTTCAATGTTTACTTTCCCACCGAAACTCAATCCTGCTTTGCAGCAGAATAGAATGAGTATTTCTCGCACCAGTACACTAATAATGTGACATCTTTTTTTCTTATTAGAGTGTGGCTTGCCTGGACACCTGCGTTTTTTTTTTTAAATCATGTGCCGAGCCAAGAAGATCTTAGATCTTTTAAGAAATCTTGATTTTTCACCCTCTGATGAAAAAGCTAAATGTAATTTTAAAGTTAACTACTTTCATTTTATCTAAGTTCAATTTGTTTTTTCGAAATTCTAAACCCAATTTTATTATTTTTTTAAATTCATACTCATGGCTTTTAGAATCGTCTACCTTGATTGTGTCTCGAAATGGAAACCGTTATCTCCCTTGTCAAATCAGTTGTTATTTTTATTTTATTTTTTACAATAAAATTGTGAAAAACTTGTGAATATTTCTATTGACAAAGTAAAGGAGAACTATCCTGATAAAAAAAAATGGTACTTATTTAATAGCGAGTAGTGTCCGACTGCTATCTACCAATGTTTATAACCTTAACACTGATATAACCTTAACACACCTTAAGCTCTTCATATTCATATTTCTTGTATTATATTCAGGGAGTGGGGTAGCTCAGTGGTAGGGTACTGAGCTTCCAATGCTAAAAGTCCCAGGTTCGAACCCCGGCTCATTTCAGAAAATTTATTTATCTGTTTCATTGGCCGTGAAGCGACCCTGGGTCAGGAGACCCTCTTGGGGCACTCCCAATCTCTACAGGGTACCCTTAATTAAATAATTAATTAAAGGGTACAACCTGGGGGTTGAGCGTGATCTCTGTCAAATCACCTCCTTACACAACCGTTGACCTAGAAACAGTGCTTTCTCTGGATAGTACTGAACCCAAGACTCTTTATGAGTTGTAGTGGTACAGGTTTTTTGTATTATATTCATATTATTATATCTTTGTATTCATATTTGTTGTATTGTATGGATATTATTGAAATTGTGAACAAAAACAAATGTAATAATAAAAAAAATACTTTTATTTTACAACATGTATATTAAAATAGACCAAAACATTATAAATATATAATTAAAAAAACATTGCAACATATATATCAAAATAAATGAAATAATAAAAATAGGCAAAAAATAGATGAAATAATAAAAAACCACTTAAACAGCATATGTACATATAAAAGAAACACTATGAAGAAATGATATAAACAAAACATGAAAAATTTTATTTTAACTTGATTTATTTTGGTAGGGAAAATAGTTTAATGGTATTTAAAATAGCGAGGAAAGGATCCTGTTCTCTATGCGCCAGCCACTACAAAGCTTCATTTGAACTTCATCGATGTTACAACTACAAAAGCATCTCCATATAATCTTCCCGTCGAACTTCATTTGATGACCTTCATCACAATATTTGACCTTTGCAAATATCCCGGCGCCTTGAAAATATTTTATAGCCTCTTCTTCTGAAGACAGCAATTCCCACAATGTGACAACATCCATAATTAAATAACACTAACTCACAGCTAACACAAGAAACAAAAAATAAACAAGGGAATAACTTAGTTTAGATGAGATAAGGGAGGTTGTGTGAAATGAGATTAGATAAGAAGGGAGGTTTCGACGCTACCTGCTATTAAATAAGTACCAAAAAAACATTGCAACGAAAGAAATTTTGTAGAACTGTTTGCTGTCCTTGGTTTGCTTTATATGGCAGGGTTGAAGAAAAAAAACAAACTTCAATTGGGAAGAGCTATGGATGAATAATGGCACGACTCCTGAATTTTTCCGAGTTACATGTCATTATTTTGATTCATATTCCTTCTACGGGGTTTGATCACATTCGTGACCACAATAAGCAAAAGAAGTTTGATAATTTAGCTCCCATAAGAGAAATATTTATTGACTTTTTGGATCGCTGTCAAAATAATTACCAAATTCATGCATACTGTACTATTGACGAGATGTTAAAAATATTCCGAGGGCACTGCTAGTTCTGTGTCTACATCCCTAACTAACTCAAAATATGAAGTGAAGATTTATGCTGTTGTGGATTCACGAATAATTTATAAGTCAAACTTGGAAATTTCTTCAGATAACAGTCCCAAACTGGCTATAAAAACGAAGAGAAGGATGGTTGGGGTGATCAGTCAGAAATAAAAATGCAAAAATAAATAATAATATTTATCTTTAACATCTGCCGACATTTCAAAATAATGACATCGACCCCACCCCCCTCCTCCTCTGCTACCATATCTCCACAATAAGAAATGTGTAAGTTCTTCTAAACCAAAGACAGTCATTATAAATGCACGTCATGTGTAATACAGTATTCTTATTAACAGTTATTCCTTTACAGTACATCAATTTTGTAATGTAATTGAAATAATTATTTTTTCTTTTAAATGTGTTATACAAATTAAATTAATTTATGTCATTGTTTTTATCTAAGCTTTTATTTTAAATATAATGTTGTTTTAATATTGAAAATTTTGTAAAATAAATTCATTTTTCCGCTTCAATAAAGTGTTTTTAATTATTACCCACATTGAAAAAAAAATTGCTTTGAAAGTAATCATAAATATTTTTGTCGTCATCATATCCAATTATATACAGAAATAGGTCAAATCGTCTACCATGATCTAAAGACTCATATATACAAGCAGAGCTGAAAGTTTAGTTAAAAGTCTATAAATAAGTGAACTTATGGGCTTATATTTGAACATTAACAGATAAAAAAAGATTTCACAAAAAAAAAACTGAAAGAGATCTCAAAAATAATTTAACTTGGTAAATTAGGTACAAATCATTTAGTTTCCTCTAACTCAAGCTTCATTCCCAGAAATAAATCATTCATGATGTTGGCAAAGAAGTTTCGAACTTATATCCAAGTATGCTATGATGTTGAAGACTTGAAGGATTTAATTATATGGAAAAAGAAGACTTGTAATACTATAAATCAATCTAAAATGAGACATGATTACCTAATTACAAATGTAATCAGAAACCGTGATTATTTTGTAATCATAATCTCTGTATCATTAATAAAAAATTCTTAACTAAAAGTCTACATTTTTTCCTAATCCGATTTTTCAGAACTCTCAGTAATCTTTGATTATCTAAAAAAAAAATATTATTTTTTACTATATTTTTTTTTTTTTTTTTGTTCTTCCCTACCTCGCCTTTTAGGCTACACGGGATTTTCCTGGGCCGGGGGGTGAGGGCGGAGAATTTAAAATCCCCTCTGGCACCGGGACGCGAACTCGTACTTTTTAAATCTGCCCAAATATGTAATCCGGTTGCCAGGCAATTCGCAGTGCTGTGCACACGCTTTAGCCCATTCGGCCACCCCGCCCCCAACTTATTTTTATATACATTTATTGATCCAGATTTGGTTTGGTAACTAGTATGCAGCAAAAAATATCATCTCAGTAAAAGTTGGTAGTTAGCCACTTTCCCCTCCAACTTGTGGGATATGAATTATTCTCATTTTAGGGGCAAGTTTTAGTCCATTACAACTTTTACATGATTAGTTAAGTCTAATTTGATTTTTTTTTTTTCCACCGCCATATGGTGAAGAAGTATTTCTTCATAATGAAATATTAAAGAATAGTGTGATTTTATAATGACTCAAGCTACTAAAATATCCCACTCTCAGTTTTCTAGTAAACAATTATTTTTTTTCTTTTGAAACCTCTGTAAAATGACAGTGAAATTTATTTCTACTCCTAATGAATAGTTACGGCATTTTGAATTTTTTATTTTTTTTAACTTTTGTCAACAGTGAAGTATGTTTATGTATTTTCAAACATTGCCCCTTCACTTTGATGTCATTACCAAGAATTAAACATAACATCAGTTATTTAAGTGTTGGAAAGAGGTAACAAAGGGAAAATTTGTTTAGAGTGTAGTGGTAGCCATGGAGTTAAAGGACAGCCACCAGCAGATAAACCGACTAGATGGGGAGTCTCACTCTACGCATCCGGTTCTTATTTGTTGAGCATGTACCTTTATTGTAGTCATTACCACTGCGTATATTATCTCGCTACCTGTTCAAATTATTTAATTTATTATAATTCACGTTTGACTATGGTATATAGCAAGTCAATTAGAAAAAACAAAAATTATAATAATGTAGAGATGGTTGACCGTTGATATGATATGAGAGGAGTTAATTGGGGTGTGCGGTCAAATAAATACTAAATTAAAATATAGTAATTATTTAATTTTTTGCCGACGTTTCGACCCACTTAGCAGGTCGTCTTCAGGGCGTAGGATGTAGCACTGCGGGACTGCCTCCCGACTTTAGTCGGGACTGCCTCCGATAGAAATACTCATTCTATTCTGCTGCAACCATTGAAGAAAATGGGGGAATAACATCAAAGGGTTTTGGGAGGATAGAAAAAAGTACAAACAGGGCCCTGAAGACGGCCTGCAAAGTGGGTCAAAATGTCGGCAAAAAATCAAATAATTACTATATTTTAATTTAGTATTTATTTGACCGCACCCCCTAATTAACTCCTCATCACAAAAAATTATAATACTAGTTACACAGCGGTTTTGGCCGAATAAAATACGTGGAAATGTCATTACCAAGTTGAAAACTCGTTTCATTCCCACAACCGAATTATTAGCTTTATTTACTTTACTTACTGAGCAAAAAGCACTTTTGATCTTGGCCATTTGCTCAGATAAAGCTGAGCGGCAATAGAAGGTGTAGGTATTTAGAAAATTGTATTTAAATGCCGTTAAAATTATTAAAATTTTATCATGAAAATTGGTAAATAGAAACTTGGATGTGAACTTTTTTCAAAATTATTCATTACACCCAACATTTTTATACTATAGAAAATGCATAAGAAATGTGATAATTAATAAACATTTTTAAAAAAGTGCATATCCATATTTTAAATACATACAGTCATGGTGATAGAAATTGCATCACCCAGTAAAATTTTTATTAAATTCCATTCTATTTACCAGATTGCTATTTGCAAGATCTCTAGATATTTCTTTCCCAGTTTTGAAACGATATCCTAAAAACAATCTCACCATATTAAGCGTGCAAATTGTTCAATTGTTTTTTCTCCTTCCAGTTGTTTTCTTTCCCTCCATGATGCCTTTTTTTTTTTTTTTTTCCTCAAAACTATGATTACTGTTGATTGGTGATACCCTATTCTCGTCACTATTTCTCATGAAAATTCTTTCACTTCATGTAACGTCACAATTGTCAGGTCATAATTACAGCTTTTATCCTGACATCAGTTAAAACTGAACTGAGAAACATTGTTGAGTTATCTTGTAATGTGGTGTGTAATAAAAATTTTGAAAAATTGCATATCCAAGGAGAGTGTTTATCATCATATGAGTGGCCATCTGAGATGGACATTTATCATTTTCAAAAAATTGAGAAAAGCCAATTTTTGTCTCATTGCTTCAATTTAAACTAATTCTAATGTTTTTCTTAATGATTCAATATAAAAATACTTAAATACTATGGTCAGAAACAGTTTGAGTTGAACCTATAAAACAAAAATTGATTTTTTCTCCACTTTCTGAAAATGACAGGGTTCTGTCTTTGATATGAGGCCACTCATATAGATATAATAAGAAAAAAAATACTGCCAATTAAAAATTTGATTAACAAAAAGAAGTTTTTGTCTAGAGAAGATATTGACATATAGTTTTAAAAATTTAGAGAGATGGTAATGATGTAAATAAAGAAATGTTTAAAAATGGCCCAAATGTTACAAATATGTATGATAAAACTAAATTAAAGTTTATTTATTGTTGATAAAGAAATTTGTATTGTTTTTATGAAAACATGGGTCATAATTTTGTTAATTATTGGTTAATTAAAGTTTTACTAAAAAAACTACTTTATGATAAATATTAAACCAATTTGGTAAACTATCTATATTAGTGTTGTCTTAGTTATGTTGTTTATAATAATTATTTTTACTTTTATAACATTTGTAGAGTAACATTTTGATGTAATATTTCTTGATTTTTTTCATTTAAAAATATTTTAGGTTCTTTAATCTTTTAGGTTGTTGAGAAAATGAAGAAGCCAAAGAAAGATTGCAAATTAGATAAGAGGTTAACAGGTTCGCAAGTCATTGATGAAGAACTTCAAGATATACTTGACTTCATCATCAGGGATTATGTTCATCCATGGTTGGTTTCTTTGGGACTACATTTTTATTTCTGTGTTACATTTTTTGTGTTTATTTCAATGAAATATGTTTCCACTTTAGGTATGATCAGTTGAGTGATAATGAGGAATTTTCTTATCAGTTAAGGCTGGTTGCTCAAAATTTAATTGTTGCATTTTCTAACAGGTGAGTGAAAAATTAAACATTTTTTTGTTTCTAAGTTAAGCTTTATCTTTTATTTGTTTTGCATAATGGCATAATTCAAATCCTTCTTTAATATCCTTTCAAGGATATTCAGGGCATTTAGAATAATGCCCTATACTGGTAAGCGGTGGCCTCTCTCTCCTTTCCCACCAAGCCTGCTCTCGGAAACTCTAGTTTTAACATGTTTTCTCTATGCTCTAGTACCTCCCAAGCGTGAATTAGAAGAGAATCTATCCTACTGCATGATTTCTTCGCACTTGATCTCAGAATTTTTCTTTTTCTCTCTTCTTACCATTCCCCTCTTTCCTTTTTTCTTGTGTTTCTATTCTTTTTTTTTTTTTTTTAACATATGAGGCCACTTAGGCCAAGCCATTGACACATTAAAATAAATTTATACTTACTAGTTTTTTTTTTCTGGCTGTACCTTCCCTCTCTCCCTCCGATCTTCTTTTGCCACCTCCTTAGTGCCATCAGTGTGGAGGAGCCTCGGGCCATCTCGCCCACTGATCCCTGTCACTGGCCCTCCTTCTCATATATACCTCTAGCTCGCCCGTGTCTCCCCAATACAGCAGCCTGGGCCTGCCTCTTGGTCACCTTCCCTCTGGTTTTGCTTCTAGAAACTATTTTGCCTTTCGGCTATCAGCTATCTGGAATACATGACCAAACCACTTCAGTTGGATGTCTTGTTTTACAGATCTTATATTCAATTCATCTCTTTCCTCCAGCAGTCTATTTATGTTTTCCCAAGAACTCTCCTTAGGTATCTCTTTTCTATGGACATTATTTTACTTGCATGTTTGTCCAGGACCATCCAACTCTGCACTATACAAAAGGACAGGCAGAAATACTGTTTTAAACAAAGCTATTTTTGTTTTCTTCTTTACCTCCTGTTTCCCTAATATTGTAGTGCAGATAGAGTAAAACACACCATTGGCATTCTTGACTCTATTTAAAACCTCCTGGTCGATCCTTCTATGTCTGCTTAAACTCGTTCTCATGTACTGGTAGTTATCTTACTTTATACTATAGTTATTTTTTCTAATGACTTACTTTTTATTTATTTCCATTCTCTTCCTCTGGAGTTCTTCTGACCATTCATTGACAGCCATCTGAAGCCTTTCTTGGGTGTCTGCAATCAGGACAACCCCATCTGCCTATAGGAGAGCTTGGGCCTGCACAAGGTTTTAAATTCCAGTACCCCACTGTTGCTCTGGGTGTCCTTTGCTTACAAACCTTCCATACTTCATCCATGCATGTGATGAATAGTAGTTGGCTTAGGCTATCACCTTGCTTTATGCCTTTATAATACTAATGGCTCGATTATCCGTTAGCGCACTATTCCTTGGATCTTTGTACCGATGATTGGATGGCACCCGTTTTTTCTGTAGAGTATTCCAAATTTCTTGGCTAGGAATTGAATCAAACTTATAATAAGACTTACCTTCAAGTCCAGGACTGCCAAAAATAGTCTTCCTCTATCTCATACTTTCTCAACATCCATTCTTAATGAGAAAATATGATCCTGGGTTTGCCTTCCTGGTCTTAAGCTAGCCTGCTCCTCTTTTGAAAGAGATTCTGGTGTCACTTGACCATTTCTTCTCTTCCATATTTTATGAATTCTGGCATAATATTATTCCTGCCTGCTGCTTTGCCTAATTTTATTTTCTCCAAAGCCAATGCAATCTCATCTTCCTCTATAACATCATTCTCATTATTCTCACTACTCTCCATTTGGTTGTCACGGATTCTAGGTTTTCTACGGCCATCATATCAAGGATATTGTCTGTATTCCCGGAAGGAAAAGGTACTGTGGTAGTGTTTTTTCCATACTTTGAGAATTTCTTTTTCATTTGACACAAAATTACCATTATTATCTTGGAAGGGTGTGTCAGGTGATAGCACAACTGAACATTGATTTAGTGCAGACCTGCTCAGTATAGTGTAATCACGTGGTTTCTAGAAGCCAAAGCGGAACTTCCCCATGACTTGGCTCTCATTCGAGATCTTCTAGGCTTCTCTAATCACCGCAGCTGTTTCCAAATTGGAGTACTCTCCCTCCCTCTGACCAAAATTTTTAAATAGTTTTATGTTCAACTTAACCTTCACCATTATATTCTTGTTAAATGGCTTTAGATGGTTATTCAAAATTTTTATCTCAAGTTGATCATAATCTTGTGGATTTGTTTAATATCAATACTTCCTATGTGAGACTATATAAATATTTATTTATTGTAGGGTGAAAGAAATAGACTGGATACCTTACTTAACGACCAGGTTAGTTGATGATGCGGCATCTCACATCCGTCTTTATAGGCAAGCAAGAGCTAGGCTTAAATCAAGCAGTGGGAGTAAACAAAATCTAGAAGACCATTTCTTTGATTTAGAGTTAGCAATGGAAGAAAATATAATATGTAGGGATCATGTAAGCCTACAACCAAAATCTCAAAGATGTAAGTTTACATTTTTTGACTGAGACTAAACATTTTAACTTTTTAATTTTTAAATAATTAATAAACTGGATATTTTACCATTTACTATTACCTATATTACTACTGAATGAAATTCAATGAAAAATGTTGTGCCCCTTTTTAAAAACACTATTTCAAAGCACAAATAAATATTAAAATTAAACTAAGAACTAAATGAATTTGTATTTACAATTCATTGTAATTTTTCATATTTTTGTAAAAAAACTTTTTTTTATTACAAGCATGCTATTTTATACTAAATTAAAAAATTATCAAAAGGTCATTTGTTTTCTTAGATTTTCATTAAATTAACCTCAATTATTGTTTGTTTTTTTTATAAGCAAAAGTCGAGATTATTATCAATTAATTATTTCAATATAAAAAACATATAGGAAGCTACCATTAAGACTTTCCTAATCCTTTATCCTAACATTGCCATTTTATTTTATATAGTACACTGATGATTTTTCTCTTCTTTTAGGTTATCTTCAACAATTGTCTGAAGTTGTTCTGTTCAATTTAAGTCCTGAAGTTGAGTTTCGGTGCTTACCATTACGTTTTATAGCTAGGGAACTGATAGTAAATAGTGTGTTAGTTCCATTAATAGCAAAGCTCTCTGATCCAGATTATATTAATCAGTTTATTATTTGGCTTGTAAGTATGAGTAGTGCGACTAGCATTTTAATTTTCATTTAAAAACATTATTTATATGTTTCTAAATACAAAATAACAAATTGAAATAACAATTTATTTTTATTGTTATTTTAATTTGGAAGTAGATTGCTACAATTTTTCCAACTTAAATTTTGTAATTTATATTACAGTAATTTATCCAAATTACTTTGAAAGATTTAGGTTAGCTGTATCCTATACATTGTCATATATCTATATATCAACACAATTCTAACAACTTTATAAAAGGTTTAAAGAAAATTTGGTGTCTCCTCACACAACTTTTCTACCAATAGCCGACAACTTTAAACCACTTTTAATCTTTTAATTTAAAAAAAATAATCATTAAGATACAAGATACTTTATTGTTTAAAACAAAATTAGTATTTTTTTCATAACTGATTTTATTAATTTAAACAACACTCCAATTTTGTAATTTTTGAACATCAGGAATATATTCTCTGGTGCCTCAGTTTACTAGGACTCACATTCAGCAGAAGAATGGCAATTATTAATCCTTTAGAGCCCATATATGCCCAGTTGTCATGGCAGCAACTACAATGGTCATAATAAAATGAACGCAACTGATTTCCTCTGATCAGACTTCCTACCCCCTATTTCTGTTTCCATTTCCGCTAAGCCAGTGTGACAAACTCCAAAGGATGTATTTCAAGTAAACTATATGGATTTCTTTCACCCAATTTTAATGAAACAGCCAGCGATTGTTGGTAGTTTTGGCATCAAATCTCAACTTTATTATTGATAATTTTTCAATATTTGATGTACCTAAAACTAATTTATTTTTTGTTTTAAGATTGATTGCTATTTTTAGTCATCTAATTTTGATTAAATGAGGCTATTAGTTTCAAATCTGCTCATTCCATTTTCAAAATTTTTATTGCAGACACCAAAATCATATAATTGTGCTTTATTTGATGTAGGCAAATTTTGTTGCGATGATTTTGTTCAATATGGCTTTGCTAAGGTGACTTATTGGATTGAGAACTATTAATAAATAAAATACTAATATTTTATGAATAAATTATATTAAGCCAAAGCCGGTTTCGAAACTAATCACCTCAGATATCAGCAACAGCAAGTGATTAACCATTTTTTTTTTCTTTTAGTGTAAAGATATTCCTGTAACATCAGAAATTTTTCTTGATGTATTGAGAGCAAGTGACAATATTGAAGAATTAAATGCTACTAGAGATATACTCAACAAAGAAATTTCCACTCTTGTTAGTATAAATTTTATTATTATTATATCAAAATAATTAAGTATGTCAGTTCCAAAATATTTTTAAATGTGATTTTTTTCTCAGAATATTTCAAGCCAGAACATACAATAACCCTGACAAATATAAGAAAAAAATGAGTTTTTGTTTTCAAATAACTAATTGAGCGAGATTCCCTGAAAATCACCTTTTTTAGATGAGCTACCTTTTGGGACTGACCTCCATGGTTGTACTTTTGTTGTTTATTAAGTTACTGTTTTGTAAAATTATTGAAATAACTTTAGTCACCTCTTTAAAAATCGCTTAAGTGGCCTTAAAGTTATAATTGGTATTTAGTATAATAAAATTATTTTGGAGAATACAGGAGCTGGTGGGATCAGTCATAATCAAATGACTGTTTTTCTTGCTAATTTGAAAATAATTTTATTTTAAAACAATTTTATATTAATACTCTAAATATGTGTTTGCAATCTGTGGTTTATTACTGTCTCGAGGCTAACAGTTGGATTCATTCTCCATCCTTAACTTCAGGTTTTGAATGGTGGAATTCAACAACTCCATTTTGAATCTCATCTTGAGAATTGAAAGATTTTTCTTGAAGAAAGTGGACAGATAGTAGTGGGAAGTCTGGACTATAAGCACGGTGAGGGAGAAATGTGTGTTCAGCCTTTATCTTATTGAAACAAAACCCAATTTTACTAATTTTGTGTCACAGCATCATACATGCTTCATAATTGATCACTATAAAGTTCTGGATCAATCTCTTCCTGTAGTTAAATTTTGTTGACATTTTTGTCTACAAAAATTTGGTTTTTGGATAGTGTGCTCATTATAAGATACCAAAATAACATTCTTACAAGCATGAGCTTATTCATAACTTTAGCCAATCTTAAAAAAAAAAAAAAAACCTTTCATTTATGTGTTTTATCACAGTTGACCATTATCTACCATTTATGTTCCGACAGGTTCATAGAATAAATCATCCCCTTCTGTCTTGAATGGATTGATATTATGTAATCTTCCATTTTTCTCTGATTAGAGACGGATTTAAATGCAGTAAACATAAAATTCTTTGTATTCGTTTTTAAAATATCCAGATTAGACCTTTTAAATTTATCATTCCTTGTTTTTAAAAAATATTTATTTCTCCTTCAAATCATAGAAATAATAACTTTAAAAAGAAATTAGTATCTTTATTTTTTCCTTTTTTTTAATGTACTAAAACAAAGATTATAATCTTTGTAAGATTATAGGAGTAAAAAATATTCTTATAAAAATACTTTATTTCACAGAGGTCTAGAGATAAAGGAGGCGAATCCGAAGCTTTAGTTAAACTACAATTATCATCATTAATTTATTTAAATAAACTTGTGGAAGCAAGAATTTCTCGTCTCCAAGAAGGGGAAGATACGAGTTAGTATAAGTACAAATCAGTCATTATATATTTCATTAGTTATTTATTAAATTGTTTATTTATTTATTTTTTCAAGCCGTGTTGCAGACTTTAAATGATGAACAATGTGACCATGTATTTATTTTTATTTTATTATATTTTAGTCACATAGTTATGTATTTTGTGGATTTAAAACTAATATAATACACTCATATTTTAATCAGTTCAAGAGTGAAATTTTATCAGCACAACCAAGTAAATAAATAACTTTGCAATGTTCAATCATTCTGCTTTATTTATAATATTATGACTTTTAATTATTTTATACTCTAGTTTACTATGTCTAATCTTATTTTTCTCCAAGGTGTAAAGCTCCAATACTGATATACAGATACAACATTATTAAAGAATAATAAAAATACTCAATTTTTTCTTGGATAATTTCTATATTGGTACACCAAATTTTGTTCTTATGGTCCTTCTGCTACTATAAAAGATTGCAGTTTAGAAATCTATCAAAAACTTATAATAAGATAGTTGACCTTTAAGATGTAGAATTATAAATAAATTCTATCATTAAATTAATGTAATATGATTATATCAAGTATAATTCTTTTGATTTTTTGCATACTTTCAGATACAACACCAGATTATTCTAAATTGCTTTTGGGCTCAACAAAACTTTTTCAGTTACCCCTTGATGTCCTCCTAAAGAATAACCTCGCCCTTTCACACTTTATGGATTATATGACGAGTATTGGAGCTCATGGTTATCTTTGTTTTTACCTCAACATAGAAGGTAAATCATCATATGTTTTTAACTTAAGCAATAAGAATTAAGCCTCCCACACACCAAAAGCAATATGTCCTGGTGATATGATATCCTTTTGTCTGTATTGCTGTGGATCATCAGGCTTAGTCTGATTGCTATAATGGGATAGATAATAATACAACCATATCGCCGCCAACAGGAATATCATATCGCCGCCAATAGCAATATCATATCACCACAGAGACATATGGTATTTTGTGTATAGAAGCCTTTAGTTTATATTTCTTATTTATTGAAATTATGGTTTCCTTTTAAAAATTAATGACTTGCTCAAAACATAACCCATCATTCTGTGTGTTGATAACCAGGGTCTTTTTCTTATTTTAATCTTAATTTTCCAAGGAATAGATCGTAAAACTTAATTTTTAGATCTAAAAAAGATCTTGTATTTATTAAAAATTAAAGCAAATACAGTTGTCATTTATTAAATACTGGTAGGCCCCTGCGAAAAATTCGCACAGCATTTTGTTTTCAAATGCCAAATTAATAAGAAAATAAAATAACACAACGTATCAAAAGATAAAGAAATCAATTGTTACTTTATTGCTAAATATAAACGGCAAAGGAAACAAAAATTAATTTAAATCTTCATTAATATTTGGAACCAACATGTTTACAAATTTCAATAAGCTGTATCTTTGCTAAAAATTGTCCAATTTCGATGATTTTTTTTTCCTTTTGTGGGAAATTTAGTAATCTTTTATATAATCATGGGCATAACCAAGGGAAAAGTGTGTAATTTTTTAGTTTTTCACAAGTTTCATAACTTGTTTGCCTGAATTTTTGGAGTGATTTTGCCCTCCTGAAGGATAAGAAAGCCTTCGAAATTGGTGGCTCAATCTTGAGATTTGGTGAAGAATTAACGATGATATGGCTTGCCGATCAAAAACACCATCGATAAATAATATAAACTCCTCTCTTGATCATAGAGGCGTCAAGTTGACAAAATGAGACATTTATTCAATTAATGTAAGATTGTGTGGATGCCAACTCTATGCCTTGAAATAGTATCTTGAAAATAGTACGTTTTGGGGCTTAAAAATGAAGGATCCGATAGTTCCGGAGGAACTATCCGGGTCTTGCTGTACGCATCAAAATCTTCAAGATCTACAGACCTACCACCATTCTAGTATTGAAGCCTAGCAAAATGTTTATATCGACTTTATTTATTTTAGAAAGAAAAACAAAAGTGGAGAATACGATTCGCTGTGAAATTCTGAATCCAACAGTACCCCATTCATGGTATTTGAGCATGACAGAACCTTATATTTGGTACAAAACTGATTTCGAGCCTTACTGTAATAATATATGTGGGAATAAACTTTGTTAAGTGTGTTAAAACTATTGTAAAACTGAGTAATAAAATGAAACCATATTGTTTACAAAAATTAAAATTTTGAGAATTATAATTACCTAATAAGAAAAATCTTTCAATGGGAGCCCCATGGGAGGGGATTTTTTTATTTTTAATTTGATAACTTCATTGAAAAGAAATTTTGTTTATTCAGACGATGACTTTATTTATCTGTTATTAATGGTATAGCTTTATAAAATCGGAATGAAATCTGCTCAAGGATCTTTTATCAATGTTGAAAATTTACTTCCTCATTCAAAATGCAGGTGTCCCGTTTTCTTTGATACTACTAATGTTTCCTAGACCAATATATTATAAGTGTTTTATTTACTTAATAATTTGTTGATGTAATCAATAAAATCAAATTATGAAGACTCCAACATACAATTATTTTTGTCAGAAATTGCAAAAAAAGGTCTGTTTTTGTGTGAAATTCCAAAAAGAACTATTTAAGTGCAAAATCACTAAATAGATAGATCAATAGATTAATAGATAGGATTTTGTATTTTAAACCAACTACTAAGATCAAAAATATCTGTTAAAAACTCTGTTTTTCCTTAAACATACATAAAAAAACAGAAATATATTAATCGTACTTCTGTTAATAATCCAACCATATATATGTAAGTGGGTTATAGGATACCCTTTCAATCCTACTTTTAATTTTTTACCAAATTGTCACTATGCATTTTTATCTGAAAATATCAAAATTTATTTTATTGGAAGAGTAAGGACCTAATACTATTTCTTATAATGAAAATAGTTTTTAACATCATCCACCATTAATTTACAAAAAGTAAATTATTAAGTTCTTCCAAATGATACATGCATCACATATAAATAAAACTTGTTTTCTTAGTTTTTTATTTTATTCTTATTTAATCATAAAATTAAATAACAATTTAATCTTAGGATGGAAGGCATCAACTGAGCAACAGCTTTCAGACATGTCACAGCATAGTTTTGATAAAACTGATGTCTTGCTGGCGGAGCAGTATTCTGCTCAACGTCAAACATTGGATAGGGTTGCTGAAGCAGCGGCCACAATATACCAACAATATTTATCTGATCAGGTATTGTTTATTTTTGTGTTGTACTAAATGATTAATCAATCTTTCTATTATATAAAAAAGTTTTTAGTGACCTTCATATTTTGTTTTATTTTAGTGTTAGGAGAGTAACGGATAACAGGAGCTCAACTCATTAGGCAATTATTTTACAAATTATACAGCTGTTCATTTAATTATATATGTGTTGACTCCTGTTATCTCCTACTATTCAAATACAAAATAAAGATTTTAGGCTCAAAATTTGTATGGAATATGGTATTATTGATCTGGAGGTAGTAGTTTGAATTTACCTTGGTGACAGCAGTTTTTTTTCTATCTGGACATTTTACTTTCAATACAATATATTGATTATTATATTGTATATAATATTATTTATTGTGATTATTATTTATCGGCTCGACAGGCACCTGAAGCTTCCCTTGGCTCTCTCAACAGCCCTTTCCCAACCATTTCGGTCAGCAGCATGTCTGCTGGATACTCCCACCATCATCAAGTTCTTATACATGGATTCCTTCCACCTTCACTTCAGTCTTTCACATAGTCTGACTCCATCCAGGGTTCCATAATATAATTTCCTCACGGCTCTGCCTTCATCCATTCTGATAATGTGTCCCAGCCATTTTAAGCGATGAATTTGCACGAAATGAGAAACTCAGAGATCGTCGATTAAGTTGTAGATCTCTTTGTTCTTTCTTAAACGACGTGTACCATTCTCTCTAACTGGCCCCATGATGCGCCTCAACACTTTTCTTTCAAAACTGTCAATATTTTCATCCAGGCTTTTGCATAGGGTCCAGGTTGCACTGGCATAGGTCAGTACATGTTGGATGATTGTTTTGTATATAATCATTTTGTTACCCCGACTTAGAAGCTTACTTCGGAGAAAACTTCTTCAAGGTGAAATATGCTTTGTTAGCACCCATTAAATGATTTTGAATTTTTTCTTCTTGGTCCAACCGATCATTAACGATGGAGCCCAGGTACTTAAAACTGAATACGTATTGAAACACATGTTGTCCTACTACATAATGCTTAGGCGGGTGTTTATAGGTGTTTTCTTCCTTAGCACCATAATTTTTATATTTTCCTCATTTTTGGATAGCCGCATTCTTCCAGCTTCTCTTTGCAACCTTTCACAGGTCTCCTTTATCGCCTTGAGGAATAGACCAATCAGTGCCACATCATCGGCATATCCAAGTACTTGAGTTATTTTACTAAAAATGGTGCCTGACTGGCTAAGCTCTGCTCTATTCACCACAACTTGGAGGCCGATGTTAAATAGAAGTGGGGAAAGGGGGTCACCCTGCCTAACTCCTGACTTCACTCCGAAAGGTTGGCCCAGCTTCCCATTTATTTTTAATCGACTTGTGCTCTCATTCAAAGTACGCAATACAATTCGGATTAGTTTTGGTGGAATTCCCATCTCTTCCATTGCCAGGTAGAAATCTTTCCTGAACTGCTTTAAAATCAATGAAAAGGATCCATATAATCTTGTTGAATCCTTTTGTTTTTTCCATTATTTGTCTCAAAGAGAATATCTGATCAGTAGTTGACCTATTCCTCCTGAAACCACTCTGGTAATCGCCCAACCGAGGTTCCACAAAATCTACAATTTGATTGTATAAAACCCAGAAAATATTTTGTAAGCAGTATTCAGGATGCTAATTCCTGATAATCTGTGGAAGCACCTTTCTTCTTGAGTAAGGGAATAATGACAGATTCCTTCCAGCTATCTGGTATTTTTTTGGTCTCCCAGATATTAACTATCAGAAGAGTCAACTCCTCTGATAGTTAATATCTGACCCTGAAGATTGGTGGGTACCAATCTTCAAAAACTCTGCTGGCATGCTATCTGAACCGGAAGTCTTGTTATTCTTGAAATTGTCAACAATCAGGCCAACCTCTCTGAATCTGGTGGGCTCGCTTCATGGTCATTCTCAGTGACTCGAATTCTTATCAGGATACTCTTCATCTTCTCTGGGATTAACAATTCCTGTAAATGTTCCATACATCTACCTTGCACATCCTGATCCTGGAAGACCATTTTCCCATCAGAACGCTTTATCATCGGACAGTTATTTATAAAACCTGATTTTATTTTACTTATTCACTGAATTATTGTGATATAATTATAAAATAGAAAAGAAAGCACAATATAACTTACAATGAAAATATTAGAAATAAAAGGCTCAAATTGATGTTGGGCTTATAAATTGATATTGGGCTTATATGGGGGGACAAGTTGAATATATATTATGGTTACAAATTGCCATGAAGAATAATTATAATTTTATAATAATATAAATTGGCAATGGTTGTGATGTATAATATAGATTTTTAAAGAAATTAAAAATTTGTCCGATCTGTGGTTTCGTTCAGTTTATTTTACATTGATATAAAATAGTACAATCCAAACCACATAATACATGTAAATTAAAGTTATACAATTTGAGCAAACAGTAATACAATTAAATGAACAGTTGTGTAATTTGTAAAATGGGAGTTGGTCCTCCATTAGGCGGGCAAGGGGTTATGCCCCTAGTTGTTATAAAAATAAATTTAAACTTCTTGTATTTTGTTGCAAAATTTTCCTCAAATAAAATTATATTTTTACAATTTATATGATCTCAGTATAAATTATTTATGCTTTGTTTCTCATTTGTATGTAAGGTATTCCTTACTGAAAATTGTAGCTTCTCATCCTCGGAAATAGTTAATATGATATTAATTGACAACTTTATAATAATATGAAACTATTTGTCAGAATGAAAAAAAAAAAAAAAAAATTCAATTCAATTCATAAGTCCTTATTCAGTCCATTCAATGGTAATTTTCTTATAAGCCTTTTGTAATTCAGTTTCTTATAAACCCTTTTAGTAATCAATTTCTTCTTAGCCCTAGTTTACACACAGTATCATTTCTATGCTATGAACCATGTGAGGCTTAATCTTTCAAAACAATAACTTTTGAGTTAATCATTTCACTGACCCAAAAGACATTACTGAGATTACCATGATACAAATGGCTCAGAAATGTACAGATCTGTTGAGAGAGAAAAAAAAATCAAATCAGACCAGTATTAGCAAAAATGAATGCAATACAGCTTATTGGAGTTGGTATCAGTTTTAATGTTTTTAATAACATTATTTTGTTATATTTTTCAATTGTATGCATTGCTTATGACCAGATTACTATATTTCCAGTTTTTCTATTTTTAGTCTTCAACAAGACTTCAGATAGACGAGGTTATTGTGAGGAGGCTTCACCAAAAGATTAGGACTGAGAAACCGAATGAAAATTGGTTTGATGAAGTTCAGGCTGCAGTTTATGAAAGAATACAGGTAATATTTATCTATTTCTGAAAGAATTAGCTTTAATTGATTTTATTTTCCTTGTATTTTTTCACATTCTTATATATGAATTTCGTAAAATTAAGCAGATTTAAATAAAATGTAGGCTTTATTCTGATTGATGTTTTCTAACAGGGCTTAAATTGCTAATTTTCAATATTAGCTTCCCCTAAAGTACCTTTAATTTGTTTTATTTGAAACAATTGACCATTTCACATTCATCTCTAATATAAAAGATAGTTAAATATAAAATATGAAAGAATTTGATAATTAACTAAAGGAGAAATGAGAGATTGTAACGGAGAATAGTTGTAATTGAGGAACCAATACGAGCTCACCCGAACACACTTGAAAGATTAGAACACGCTTCCATACGTAACATGAGCTTAATGTAATAAGGACTCCGACAATATTATGTAAATATACGTATGCAGTTCCATAGATGCTATTGTTGGTATTATTTAATATTTAATTACATAGATTACAGCGATATAAATATTAAAATTTTTATAAGGATACTTAAATAAATAAAAATACCCACAATGAATTGTAAATCAATATAGTGTTTATAATTTTTACTTTCACTTCCCCTTTGTCTGAAAATACTTATATATGCTAAGAAGAGGGTGGTAAGTGAAAATTGTGTGATTCGTGCACCATATCAGATTTTCGTTTTTGTATTTTTATTTTTTTAAACTCTAGATCCCTTATATTCAATTTACTGTGATTGCATTCTTTGATTAGTCAAAAGAAATTTTAAATACATGCATTTCATTTTTAAGATAGCCATTTATATTGTTACCGATAAAAATAATTAATCCTTTTTCTTATGGAGTTGGTTTTCCTTTCTATTATTTCACCATCGTCAACTCAATAATTTTTTTTTCTCACGTTCCTCGCCTTTTTAGCTGTACGAGATTTTTCCTTAGTCAGAGGGAAGGGCAATAGATTGATTCTAGAGTCAAAAGCTCCTCTTTACCTGTATTCGAACTCATAATGTTCGGTGAATCCATGTTGCCTGGCAATACATATTTTGCACATACTTTAACCCACTTAGCTGCCCATTCTCCCTTCTCTATGACTTCTTAAGAGACTAATGAAAAACATCACATGCTGAATGAAGTCCGCTGGAAGGTGAGGATGGAGTAATAAGATGAAATATTGATTCCCTTCTTTTTCTTCCTTGATAATGCTTTTCATCATGGAGGAGGTTCCTTCCACACTAACAAAAATCTAAAACATTATGTGTAACAAAAACACATATTTCAGTACCTTGCTCACCTTTCTTCAGCACCATCATTCATCACTTATGATTTTTGTGCTAACCGTTAAGTATTCTCCAAATAGCTTCTTCTAAGCCTTCCTCGTGGTCTTTTGCATATTAGAGTTGCTTTTATACATTTTCTTAGTATTATGTCTTCTACTAATTATGCCATCTAGGTTTAGGTCTGAAAAAATTGTCCATAAAATTTGTAAGCCAGTATGAATATTTGATTGTACTGATATTTATTGAATGATTACATGAAAATCAAATGGTCATATCCTCCTTATTTTGACATGGGTCTTGCCAAACAACCCAATATTTTCATTATCCAATTTTTTTTTTTTACAATTATTATTATTGTACAGTTAAGTTTAAAAGCAGTGGGGAGTTCTGACCATTATAGCACATCATTCAGATAATTTACATTTAAAATTTTAAGGTAAATTAAAATGAATGTCCATTTCCAGTAAAATGTCCGTTGATAAAACAGTTACGATAAAATGAAGCTACTCACAAAGTTTTAGATAAGTGTTAATAAGTAAAAAGAAAAAATGGTTCTGTACTTTGGACTATCAATTTCCAAAGATGATTTTAATAGGAATAATTCAAAATATCAAAAATTTTAAGTCATTTATAATGTAGAGCACTTACCCTATCTTTGATTCAAATCATTCATCCTCTTCTGGAAACTTAACAGTTTACAAATTGTTATATGGACCAGTCCATGTTAGAGAGAGTATTTTAAATTATTCCCTAGTTGGTACCGTTTTAATTAAAAGATAAAAACTTGTTTAGAAGAAGAAAAAGAAAAAATAATGGTGTAGTGGACTACCGATTAGTTTATTTTACTGGAAAATGCCTTCATAGAAGTCATAATATTTACTGCGAATAGAAGAATGATATCTCCTATTTAACAGATTTTATTCTATTAAACAACATGTTAACATTTTTTCTGCAATCTATTTCGATTTTTTTTTTTTTTTTCATTGACTCATAATTGTTTTGTAGAATGATGAAAAATTTTTGAATGGATTTCGAGCCTCTCCTTTGTACGTGAAATTGCTTACGGAATTAGATCTTGTGAAAGGTGAAAGGTCAGATGAAGAAGATACTGGTTCACTTGATGAGGTTAGCTTAAATTCTGATACAGCTAGCTTACCGGAATTCATCATTCCACATTCGAGTAAGTTATTATTTAATCATAAAATTTTCAAAACTTTTTTAAAGTTTGTTTTATAATTTTACTAACTAAACAAATTACAAACTTTTTCCAATAACCGAAATTACATTTTTTGATCAAACTAGGTTTGGTGGGCAATCTTAATACATCATCTTAACAGCCTCTTGGGTTAAACCCTCCTCTCATGAGACAAGGTAGAATCAAAGTGGTAGAGATTCAAACTGTATGTCTTGCTCAAACCACACATCTCATGAGTTATATGATCCACTCATGATTTTTCTAGTTATTTATCTTTACACTTCAACAATAAAGGTGAAAACTTCCTTCTTCAAAAATGAGCAGCCATGTGTTGAAGAAGTCATTGTTATATTTTTATTGGCACCCTCATAAGAATCAGAGAACATAAGTGCATCCATGTTCAAAACAAAATATTTATTGTCAGAAACATTTTAAATTTGGAAAATACTAATGAATATTCCAATCATAAAGTAAAAAATATTTTTCTTAGATAATGGTTAAAATAGGAAAGAATTGAAACTTAAATAATATGAATATTACTCCTAACTCACTTGTTTCAAGTATCATGCTCCAGAAATATGTCTGAAGAAAGGTTTCCTATCAGTCAAACAATATTTTGGTATGGGTGGATTTTGATGAGTGAACATAACAATAAAAGGCATATATTAGATTATAGGACTAATATATATATATATATATATATATGGCTTTTTTTACTAACTGCTAAAGTTGTTCGATATACCAGAAGTATTTTTTAATTTCCTTTATGATATAACACTCTATGATCAATCTATCAGGTGGGCTGCTATTGTAAACATAAAGTTTCAAGAAATGTCCATGGTTTTAATGTTAATAGCATAATGTTGAGTCGATATTTCAATTTTTAGACAGTGCTGATACTGAGAATGGTGGAAGCCCTGTACACCATGGCTCAGAACCTAAAGCTTCTGGACCATTCTCTTTACATGCAGAAATAATAGAAACAGGTATGTTTTTTAGGTAACCTTTTTTGCATATAAACATATACATATAAACATTCCATTCAATGTGGGTGTTTAATTAAATAATTGTTTTCTTAACTCAGGTCTTGTTCATGAAAAAGGCAAGACATTCGGAATGTATGCTGTGTCTGTTTTGAAGAAGTATGAGAATGGACATCGTGACAGCTGGCATGTTTATAGGAGATATTCTGACTTTCACGATTTACATACTAAAATAAAAGAAAAGGTATACAGTGTTTTTGATTATATTTGTCTTAAAAATAGATTAATACCAATTATAATTTATGAGCTTTTCTTTCCCTCCTATTAGTACCCAGAACTTGCGAAGTTAACTTTTCCTGGAAAGAAAACATTCCATAACATGGAAAGGAAAACATTAGAAAGGAGAATGATTGGGCTTAATAACTACCTCATTTGTATTACGCAGCCTTCATTGTTAGCTAGTAAGCCAGGTCTTGCTGTTTTGGTTTCGACATTTCTTCATCGTGGTGAATATCGCCCTGAAGCTCACATATCTAAAACAGTAAGAATGTTATTTTCATTTATCTAGTTGTTACATGTTATCGGTCTTCTAAAATATAGTATTGTTTTTTTTCTACTTATTGGATATTCTTAACCTGGGAGATGGTGAAAGATAAAATTTTGAACGTGCATTGATAGACTTTTATAAGTCAAATAAGCAAATATATATATATTTTATTGTTATACTAAATGTAATTAATTTATTTTTGAGGAAATTAGCATCATTGGTATAATGAAAGAAACACACAACAAATTTAAGTTATATTTTTTTGACTATATGGAATAAACTGGTAAGTCCAAAAATGGTCCTCATGAGTAATTGAGTACTGTGATCAACTAGCCTAAATCTTTCTGGGTATAGATGGAAGGTGTGGCTTTATTGACAGTATGTAAAAGGCTTAGGAGCAGGGGTTTGAAATATTAATATGTATTTTATATGGTTGGGAAGCCAGTAGGGGTCACAGTCACAGTGAGAAACACAAATACAAATTTTATTTTATTTTGTGTCAGTGTTTCGATATGTTTCAGGCCTTCTTCAGGGAGTGAGAAAAGACAACCTGACAACCAAACAAAAATTATTAAACCTATTATGAAAAAATCCTCACAATGCTTAGTGGTAGATTAGGATGGATTAAGTAAAGTATTATAAAAACAAAATATATGTTATATGCTAATAAATATCACTTCATAGAATTTATTTATTAACAGAAAAAATATATTTTGTTTTCATATCTTTTTATAATAGATTTGTAATAATTTTTGTTTTATTATCATCTTGTCTTTGCTACGCCCTGATGAAGCCCTAAAACGAGCCGAAACTTCGGCCCAAAACAAAATTTATTTTATTTTTATTTATGTTTCTCACTGTGACTGCAACCCCCAACTAACTTCTCAACCATATTATCTCTAATCAATTATTGATACACCTTTATGTAATTTAATAATTGTAACTTTATATTGCCATTATATCAAAGTTGTAAAAATATTTTTGACATTTAAAATTAATTAATTTCTTCCTTTTTCAGTTGGACTCATTATTTCGATTTTCAATGCAGGCTGTGCGAACTGTACCTGATTCTTTAATGTCTTCAGTTGATGGTGTGGTAGATGGTCTCAGTCGTGTGCTTCAAGTCAAGACCACGAGAGAAGAAACAGGAAAAGTTTCAGCCTCGATTGACACTGAAGTAATTATGTTTGTTATTAATAAAATTTGTCATGTTACTAATATGTGGAACTTTTTTATGTTTTGAATAACATGATTTGTCATATTATATGTCTCGCTCTGTGTCCCTTTTCAGGAAAAAATAATGTAAAAAGTTTTGGGGGGGTAATTCACACTTAACAAAATTTGTTTACATAGTTTTAAGAAACTAAATAATATAAATAGTTACATTAAAAAGTTTGTTAATAATCAAAATTTGATTGCTATAGAGAGTTGCTTCCTGCAGTCACAAGTTGTTTCTGTCCCTTACTAATTCTTGCACATATATTTCTTTTTCTAAATACCAACTATAAACCACCATATCCCATTGCTACTTCTTCTTCTCTCACTATCTCCTGTGTGTTGCTAAGCGTGGAGTAGCTGCCTCTGACCATCTTGTACAACCGTCCCTGTCCTGTGTAGGCCTTCTCATCTCCGACATGGTGCTTCCTCTCGCTGCGCCAATTCTCTCTATCAAGTCTGCATGCATAAGCCTTGGCCTGCCTTGAGGTCGCCTTCCTCCCGGTCTTGCTTCTAGAAGCCACCTGTCCTTACGGTCATCTCCCATTCTATTAACATGCCCATACCACTTCAACTGCCTTTCTTCAATCGTCTCTAGGACGGATCTAACTCCTAGTTCATCTCGCACTCTTTCATTCCTTATTCCATCTCAGTTTTTCCAATATTTTCTGTAGGAATCTCATTTCTGCAGAGATAATCTTGCTGGCATGGCTGTCCAAAGTATACACTAGAGTCCTGGAACAAAGATTAAGGAACTTGGTGGAAGAAGATCTGGAAGAGGAACAGGCAGGTTTTAGACCCGGCAGGCAGACACAAGATCAGAATGATTGTAGAGAAGGCATGGGATAGAGGTAAAGCAGTATACCTAGCTTTTCTAGATTTACGGGTGGCTTTCGACAATGTTCCCAGACAGGAAATATGGGATGCATTGCAAGATAGGAGAATCCCACAAAATCTTATTAGTGCAATTAAGTCAGTGTATTCTGGTTAAATAAAAAAAGAAGTAGAAAAGAAATTAGATGTTTCTAATATATTTTATATAACAATACTTGTGAATATGCGATATTCTTTGTGTAGATACAGAGATTGTCTAGTTTTCCAACTCTAAAATTTGCAACATATAATTGCTATATAAGAAGCAATCAGTCTCTAAATCTCCCACAAAAAATTACTAAAGGTTCAAAGCATTATATCTCTGCACCAAATCGTCTAATTTTAGTGGGTTTTTTTATTTGCAGGGAATCAATGAAGCTTTCAAATAATGATAGGTATAATCAAACAAAACTTGTGTATTTTTTGAGTTATTCACAAATATAGTTTTGAACTCATCGTAATTTTTTTTTTCATACTCTTTTTTGGAGAATGATGTTATATACATAAAGTAAAAGGGCTTCAAGGAGAAGACTTTAGCCAAGTTTAATTAAAATCTTAACAGCCGTTTAGGTGCTACAGTCTATAGCGACACAGGTTTTTGGGCCGCCATTCTGAAACGAAAGACCAGAGGGTGATTAAATGTATATTAACTACTTTTTTAATATTAGTTTAATTAAAAAACTAAGTTTAAATGATTAAACACTCCTGAATGCGATAGAAACATTATGTAAATATTTCAAAGTGATGGGTGAAAAAGTTTCGAAGATTAACGGTTTTTAACAAACGAACATTTACTTTTTGTTAATATAGATAAATCACATGTTTCCAATAAAATTTTTTTTTTTTTTACACTTACATATATTTATCCGCACCTGTCAATTATAACTATTGACAATCAGCAGATGTGCTGGCACAATCATGAGAAGAAAAAAAATAAAAAAAAAATAAAAAATAAAATAAAAAGGCTTGATAGGCATGAGGAAAAGCAATACCCAGTGGCATCCTTTCCATGGCTTTTACTTACTTACATACAATTACGTAAGTAGGTCCCTCATCCAGACCCTTTTCAGTCGTCTTCTGGAGTTCTCCGCCATAGTAGTCGTGGCCATTTCTTTAATTAGCTGGTTGGAGTGTCCATGTAATTTATTATGAAATCGTTTGTAGTAAGTTCGTATGTGTTCATTGATCGTTGGCATGTGTAAGTCAGTGTGTAAAGTGCTATTATTCACGTACCAGGGTGCTTGGGTAATTAGTCGTAGTATCTTAGACTGAAAAGTTTGAAGTCGTTTTATGTGTGTTGGTTTTGCAATTCCATATATTTGTAGTCCATAAGTCCAGAGAGGTTTTAATAGGTATGTATAAATATTTAATTTCTGTCTTGCTTTTAATTTCGAATGTCGTCTTAATAATGAATGCAATAGTTTTAATCTGTGATTTAATGATGCACGTTTTTTCTTTACATGTGGACCCCATGTCATTCTTCTGTCAAACGTCAGGCCTAGGTATTGTACTCTATCTGTTTGTGGAATCGGTATGTTGTCTAAGTATACAGCAGGGCATGTTTCTAGTCTTAGAGTAAACGTGATGTGTTGTGACTTTTGATAATTTATATGAGTTTTCCATAGTTTACACCAATCGTTTATTTTTTGTAAGTGATGTTGTAGGTTAAGTGATGCCTGTGTAGGATTATCGTGTCTAGTAATGATAGCAGTGTCGTCTGCGTATGTTGCTGTAAGTGTGTGGATACTTTGAGGAATGTCGTGTGTGTATGTGATGTACAGTAATGGGGCTAAGATTGACCCCTGAGGTACGCCAGCTAAAATAGGTCGAATTGAGGATATACCTGAACCGTGTCGAACGGAGAAAAATCTGTCTGAGAGAAAGGAGTGAAGAATTAAGTAGTAGGTTGGTGGGAGTATGGTCTTAAGTTTGAAGAGAAGCCCCTGATGCCATACTTTGTCGAAAGCTTGGGCGACATCCAGAAATACCCCGGTTGCATATAGTTTTCGCTCTAGTGCTGTCGATATGTAGTCAGTTACCCTGTGTAATTGTTGTGTTGTTGAGTGTAATTTTCGAAACCCGAATTGATGGTCAGGAATAATCTGTTTGTCTGTTAGTATATGTAATAGTCGTGAGTATAATAGTTTTTCAAATAATTTAGAACACACTGGAAGCAAACTAATCGGTCTATATGAAGAAGGATTGTTAGTTTCTTTGTCTGGCTTTTTAATCATGGTTATATGAGAGTATTTCCACTGTATTGGAAATTTTGTGGTCCTAAGAATGCAATTGAAGATTGTGGTGAGAAACACTAGAGCTTTCCTTGGCATTTGCTGGAGCGCCTCAGCATTTATCAAGTCATGACCAGGGGTTTTTCTTTTCGGTAATTGTCTAATTTCTTGTGCAACTTGTGATGGTGTGAAAGGAGGTGGTGGTAGTGTGAGCTGTAGTGGTATGTCTAAACTATTTTGTACAAAAATATCATGTTCTATATTAACGAAGTCCGTATGTGATTTAAAAACAGAGGAAAGATGAGTAGCAAAGAGTTCAGATCTTTCTTCGTCCGAAACAGCCCAAGAACCATCCTCTCTTCGTAGGGGTGCTGACACCTCACGATGCTTTAAAAGATTCCTTGTGTGTCTCCATAAACTTCCATCGTCCGTCGAAAGGTTGTTAATAAAATTGTCGTAGTTTGTGCTTTTGAATTTTTGAATATGTCTTTTAAGTTCGTTGTTCAATCTGTTAAAAGTTTGTCTGTCTGAAGGAAGTCTATTAGTCTGCCACACTTTACGAGCTCTTCTCTTTGCCCTGATTAAGTCCCTTATGTACATAGGATACTGGGGCAAGTTCACTGCTCTTTGTGACCTAGATGTTGATGAGGACCATGCTGCATCTTGTATACTTTTTGTAAAAGTTTCGACGGCTTCTTCTAGTTCCATTTGATTTTTAATTGAACCTGGAACAGAAATATTGTTGTTCAAATGGTCTCTATATGCGTCCCAGTCCATGCAACCGGTTATGAGCTTAGGTCTCTTTTGTACTTCAGAAGGCGCGTCGAAGAGAACCATGTGTACCGAGGAGTGATCAGAGCAAAGATCAGAGCTTGTATTGATGGCAAAAGGTACGGTTTTAAGTCCTTTTGTAATAAAGAAATCAAGTAAGTCGGGAGTTTTGCGTCTGGAGGTGGGCCAATAAGTGGGTGAATTTGGAGTTATTGTGTCTAATGAAAGTTCATGGAGGACAGACCAGAGATTTCTGCCTCTAGGAGTAGCCAACCTTGAACCCCAGCCTTGATGCTTAGCATTATAGTCTCCACCTGCGATGAAGCATTTTCCGAGACGTTTGAAGAACTCAGAAAACATCGTGGATGTAAGCTTGTACCTAGGGGGACAGTAAACTGAGGCAAATGTTATAGTGTAGTGTTTAGTGTATAATGTTATTCCTGTTTATTGTATGTCGGGTGTAATGGGTAAGTCTATGGGATTGTGTTTTAGTGATTTTTTTATGAGTATCGCTGTCCCTCCATGTGCAGTTTTGTCTGGGTGATCAGTTCTATAAATAGAGTAATCCTGGATGTAAATTTTTGTTCGAGGTGTCAGGTGTGTTTCAGTAATGAGTGCAACGTCAATCCGTTTTTCGTGCAAGTATAAGTCAAGTTCAGTACTGTGTTGTGCCAGTCCGTTGGCATTCCACAAAAGAATTGACAGAGAATCCACAGTTAAATTATTGTGGGACATAATTAGGGCACCAGACCTGTGTAAACTGTGATAGCTGTTGAAGAAGAATGAAAAGGGGCTGGATTAAGTTATTTAACCCATTAATTATATTAAATAACTGGGAAGAGCTATTATCTACCTGAGGTACCGTCTGGGTAATGCCTCCCCTCATACCTGTACATGTTTTTTGGTTCTGGGGTGCTGAGTTCGATGATGGTTGATTATGTTGCTGCTGAGGTCCAGCGATGTTCTGTGGTACCGCTTGGTTGATCCGCTGCCGTATTGGAGGGAATTCATGGATGCCTGGAGGTCCCTGTGGTGGCTCTGCTACTGTGGGATGCTGAAGACGGTTTCTCCCATTGCGCTGAACCCTGAGATCTTTCAGCGTCTGGCAGCCTCTGTAGTTAGCCGGGTGCTGACCACTACAGTTGGCGCACTTAGCGGGAGTCTCTCTTGTTTTTAAACATGAGCTGCTTTCGTGATATTCGCCGCACTTCACACAGCGTGGTCGATGATTGCAATATGTTTTAGTGTGCCCATATTGCTGACACCGAATACACTGAGGAATACTTCGCTTCTGACGTGGTTCCTCGATTTTAATGTGAGAGTAATATAAAAACTCAATTTTAAAAATGTCTTCTCTGAATGTCTCTTTTGTAACGTCTACGAAAAACATAGGAAGAGGTTTTTTAAATCGAGATATTACGTTTACAACATTTGTTACTTCATAGCCCATATTTTTAAATTCCTCTCTGATTATCTCGACTGGTGTTCCATGATGGAGATATTTAACAACAACCCTTGGGCACTTGTCTTGTGGGAGTTGGTAGGTGTGAAAGTCCGCGCCTTTATTTCGTAGGCTTGAGTTTAATTTTCGATATATATCAGGTGTTTGTGGGTAAACAGTAACACCTTTTAATGTTGATTTTGTCTTGAATGTATTAGGGCCAGCTTCATTTTCTAAGAATGAAATTAAAGCATGATAATTCTCCACACCATTTATAAAAATTGGTGGAGTTTTATCATTTTGAGGCGGTTGTCTTATTTCTTCAGTTTGCGGGTTGATCTTGGTTAGAACCTCAAAACTGTTAGAGGTTGGAATAGGTTCTGTTGGTCGTTTTTGTGCTCTTGGCTCGCTTGAATCTGACATAGATCTTTTACAACCAAATAACCAGCTCCCAGGAGCCAACGTCACTGTTTGAATCACTATTTGTTAAGTTCATTTTGCTTACCTCCTCGTGTTGTGACCGTTCCACCATCGTTGTCGGTGAAATCCGCTCAACCTTTGTTTTGTTTTTTGTCTTCAGCTCTGTTGTCTTCAAAAAAACACTTTTGCTACACAAAAAATGAGTATTTGCACTAAATTATCACTTTTTGAAAGAGACAAAAGCAAATTAACCTTTATCGTTGTTTAACATCAACAGCTCGCATGGATCTTCTCCAATAAAATTAAATGAAATTTTCATACTAAATAAATGGATATGTTTATAACCTTAAATACATTTGCTGTAGTTTAATAACTCTAGATCAGATATTATATTTAAATAATTAGATATATATTGACTGTTTATTCCAAATATTTAGATATACAATACTTTCAAATCTCTCTAGGCATATATGAGCCTTCTTTTGGTTGACAGAATGAGTAACTCTAATTTCAACATTGTTTTTTATTAATTTTAGTGATGTTTCTATTTTTAAAAAAATTATACCTTTATTCACAGTTCTATATTTCAATACATGTATAATCACGTACTCAGGAATTGACTAACTCACTGTCTGTATAGATATAACTTTTTCAACTAGAAATGTCACTAAAATGGCATTACTCGGAAATGTTGAAATTGGAGTTAGTCATTCTGTCAACTGAAAGGCTCAGAGACTGAAGTTACATAGTTTATAAAAGCAAATGGAGTAACTAGATTTTTAATGCCTACCGTCGATTTAATGAACAGACTTTTTGTAATTTTAATGGTCTTAATGATTTGTTATTTATAAGCTTTAAGCTTCAGCTCCATTTAAAATTCACTTCAATAATTTTATAATGGCCCAATAATGCCAGAAAATAATATCTATTCAAAGTAGAGCGGTAAGTGAAAGTTATGTGTTACGCACACCTGATTTTTTTATTGTTCAACAAATATGTTGAGAAATAACTGTTCAGGCAAAAAAGCATTTATCTCAGATGCCCTTCATGAGATTTTATTCATATTGATGGTAATTCATAATTATTGAAAAAGTTAGAATTTGACCTACGTAAAATATTATTATAAAAAAAATTCTAAGTTATTAACCAGTTTAGAATTAATGATGTAATATATTAAATAATTATGTGAATTTAAAGAACTGTAAACAAGAAACAAATATTTATGTCTCATTCTCAATAGAATGCTTGAAAATTTTATAAAGGACATCTACTGTTTGTTATTTATAGCAATTCATATAAGAGATAAAAGTAATCAACTTTATTTAAAAAAAAAGAAGAATAAATCCACAAAATTATGTCTATTGAAATAAAGTAAGTTAATCTATATGAAAATTCGATGTAAAGTAAATTCTTAAGTAACTTTGTAGAGGTAAAGATGTGATTGTTCTTTACTCAGGGACCAATTTTGAACAGTGATTCCAATTTTTGACTGGTACTCCCTGATACTACGAAATCTTTCTAAACTGCCTCTCCTAAAATTTGTATATACCTATCTACTGTAAAACAAAAAATAACACTTAAGTCTGTTAATAATATCAATTGAGACCATAGATTCTAATTAGTGGATGTCTGTCTAAAATATTACAAAAGTTGGTCATGCTGTTTTTCCTCTAGTGACCATGGAAATAATTAATGATTCATGCCATATAGATTTCTGATTGAAACAAGAGTTATATCTGATTATCAATAAGCCTGCAGACCTTATATAGTAGCAGACATATCAATAATTAAATTTTTTTGTTTAATCCTCAGAGTGGGGATAACATTCCTACAAGAATTCTCTTGCTTCTTATGACTGAAGTGTTTGAGCTAAAAGCGTCATCTCAGTGGCTGAGGAGAAGACTAGTCAACTTATTGCGCCAGATTGTACGAACTATGTTCGGAGACATTGTTAATAAAAGAATATTAGATACTGTGGCCCTCCTCACTTCTCCTCACAAGGTCGCTTCATACCTCAGAGCATTTAAGTAAGCTAATAGCTTTCCAATTTAAATTTATTTGTTATATGTTTTTTTATTAGTTATAAACTTAATGTGTTTAATACTTAATAGATACTGGTGACATATTTGTAATAAACCATTGAAAAAAAAAATCAGAACAAAATTCTTTTTGTCTACTACAATGCACGGGGGGAGAAGGGGGCTTTGGGGCTGAAGTCTCTCTCCCTCCTCCCCCCCCCCTTAAAAAAAATGGTAAAATATAACCATGTTTTATGGAAAAAAATATTAAAAAATTATCAATTAAAGTATTATTGTTCGTGTAACTACATTTAAAAGAAATTTAGGAAAACACCATTTTATATGGGTAGTTAGTTTCTTCCTTTTTTCCCAAGTAATAATCCTTATTTTTATGAAAAAAAAAAGGTTTTGGGCTGATACCCCACCCAAAATTAAATCCTGGATCCACTAGTGCTACAATGAAACAAATTTACTATATTCTTTATTGACTGATTAAATCTTAGTAATTAATTTTAACAGACCTTCAGGGACTTAACTTTTTTTTAGTCTTTTTTTATGTTGATAATAGAAGGGTCTATAGGTAGCAATAATAATAAAAGGTATTACAAATGTTTGCAGTCGTTACTCACTTTCTATCTTCATGTAGCCGATAGGAAAAAGAATAATTGGTAGGCATTCGTATTGTAGATATCTGAGATTTTTAGATCTTCCAATCTTAAATGTACCTTCTAAATTAGTCTAGCATCACAAAATTGATTACATCATTGAAAATCTGATAAAATGATCCAACTTTTTTTGAAATTCCCATGGTCTTAGCTTCAAAATTCATTGGGTGATAAATTTTCAGGTTTTTATTAGTGCCGACGTTTCAACCCAAACATGTGGGACATCATCAGAGCGTTGTTCGAGCACTGAAGATATGCAAGTACTCATACCGGATGTTTGCGTTGAAACATCAGCACTAATAAAATCTTTATAATGACTGTGTCCTGAATATATGTCATCCATGATATGTAGAACAGTCGACAAACTTCCTTCAATAATTCTTGAAAATTCATTGTATGAAATTCGTCTGATTATTTCTTAAAATGATTAATTTTACTTATTTATTTTGTTTTTCCTATTATGATCACCTGTCAAATCTTTTCCTGCTAATTCGTTATCCTTTAGAAAATTCAATTTAAATTCTGAAAATAATTGAGAAATATTCAGTTACATTAGAGTAATTTGAATATATATAGAGAAAAAATCATATTTCAACAACAGTTTGAGATAGGAAGGTACAGTTGGCAGCGCTGAAATTGTTGGTAGGCTATTCCTCCTTCAATCATTAACAATTTCTCCTATTATGTTATATGTATTAAAAAAAAAAGTAGACCTTTTTTTCAGTAATTTTTTTACTTTTGCATGTAAGAAACTCAATGAAAAAGAAAAATTTTAAATCCATTCATAGCAATTGAGTTTCTAAGTATCGAAGTTAAGGTTTCGGATTTCTAAATGCACTTGAATATTTAATTTATCATTGCTTGTTTGTATAAATATTGCTAATCTGAAATTTTCTAAAAAATCATGGAAAAATTGGGAATTATTTGGGGATTCCAATTACCATGTGTAGGTATAGGTAGACACCATGTGTATTATATGTGATATTAATTTGTTTAGTTTTTAAATTTTCAATTCAAATAATTAATTTCAGCTCTTTGCCTCCCTCACAAATGAGACTAGTTGGTTTCAAACTGGTTAAATAAAAATTAAAATTTTTATAGGGATGCATTATGGCCTCACGGACTGCAAGGAGAACCTCCAATACCTCGTGATAATGCTACCAAAATGAGAACACGTGTTGCTGCCAAAGCAGCTTTACTATCCAGCCTATCAGGTACACTAATTATGATAAATTTAAAAAAAAAAATGACCCTGTCATATTTTATTTTAAATTATGTAACTTGTAGTAGACATCCCCCTGTATTTACTCCTTTAGTTGACATTGTGTGAGGGAATGAGAAGGAATATATAGGAATGTGAGGTTGCACGATGAATTGTACTCAATTGTACAGTGGACAATTATTCATTGAAAAGTCTCATATCGATAAATAATGGATGGAGAAGGAAGAAGGTTGGAGGTACCGAAAGGACCTAGCAGGTAGCAAAAGCTGGAGAAGGCATTCTAGGCCGGGACAGGTAGAAAGGAGGTTGTTAGAAGAGAGGAGGACTGACTTGAGGCGGAACACATACCTGGGAAGAGAGTCTACTACAAGATTTAGAAGATCAAGTCTATAGTTATAACACTTTAATAGAGTCAATTTATTACAGTTGTAGAAATAAATTATTTTGTTATACAGGAGTGAAAAGCCATTTATTTATTTTGTTGTCCTATATGCCTCATGATTGAAGAATATATTCACATTTCAAATATATATTCTTATTGTTTCTTCTCACTCAGTGTCACAAAAGGTATTAGATTCCCGAATTCTCAACAACTGTTAAACACCTTCAAAAGTCTATATCCCGTGCCAGGGTTTTGTTTTAATAATCATGAATGTAAATAACCTAGTTCCCCGATATAAAAGCGGGAGGCTATTCGCCTATTCCCGCCAAAACAAGTTATTTAAAATTAACTTTCAGTAGGTTATTTACAAACTTAAGAGTCTAGTTTTTAGTATTCTCATGGAACGTTTTAATAGTCACAATCATTTCTCACACTTTTAAGTCCTATAAACTGGCTTAGAAGAAGGCATAAATTATTGTAATTTATTATTGTAATTTATAATTGCAAAAATATGTTTATAGTGTGCCTGTAAAAAAAATAGAATGTAAAAAAGTCAATGAAAAGTTTATGAACTAAATTATGTTCTCTGTTCCAGATGAATTGAAGCACATCCTAGGAAGTGAAACTTCTAGGTACGGAATCATTTCAGTTTTCTCACTTCTTCAGTGTAATTCCCTTAATACCCGCTTCGCTTTTGTTCTGTTGGAAGGGATTCTATCAAATCTTCTTGGTGAGCCAATAATGACAGATATTCTTCGAAGGCTTCATTCAAAGAGCCCAAGGATACAAGACCTTCAATCTTAGCACTGAATCTGGTAAAAGACAGTAATAATATTTTAAAAGTTATCTTTCCCACTCAAGGATAAGATTTTAAGGCTATGTGATCAAGTTTTAATTTTGTTTGATATCTTCACTGATGACCATAATAACTTACATAAATTATCTCAAAAAGGCCAAAGTCTCTTGTAAAGCCAATTCCTGGTAGTGATCTTTCGTTCCTCAAATATGAAATATTATTAGAAATCTCAATAATTTGTAATTAGCTCTGTATATATTTGTAAAATAGTCCTGATTTGTTTGTTTTTTGTTATGATCTGTTAATTGGATTATTGTTTTAAAAGAAGTATGAATATTTATATCATTAATGTTGAAAATGTTATTTATTTAAATGGTTGTTTTGTATATTAATTTATATTTATAGAATGTTATATGTATATTATTTATTGATTTAAAAAAATAATTTATTGAACCATATCATGTCAAATTGGATGATATAGAATTTGAGTGCATACATTACAAATAGACAACTGAAAAAACCTAACAATGAAGGTCATTTACCATTTGAATATTGTTTCTCCTACAATGCTTTTCTAGCACTTTATTTTATAGTTAAAATATTTGCTAAATCTGATTTATTTATACTTGAGTTATTTTCAATTTTTTTATTGCAAAATTAATATCTATAATGAAAAACTTTTATATTTTTTATGCTGTTATGCTACCATATTTTTCTTATTGTTGATTTTTTTTTATTCATAATATTAACTAATTTAACTATATTATTTTATCAAGACATATTAATACAACCACATACACTGTCTGTCAAAAGGTAAAGATTACCTCAGTTTCATGAGAAAATTTTAATGCATCAAAAATTCAAAAAATCCTTTCTTATGTGTCAAGGACTGCTTTGACCACTCATAGCATTTTAATGGATTAGCATAACTTATCTCATCCCTTATTATTCTAAAAAATTTTCAAAAGATCTCTAAGGATTTTTTAAAAGTTATACCGGACTTATTATTAATTATCAAGCTCTTCCCAAAACAGATTGATCTTACTGAATTGACTTAATCGTCATTTAGTGGTAAATATATGGACACTATAACAGATTAAACAAAGAAATGCCTGGTCCTTCAAAAGATTTTTATAACCTTAGTTGTTAAGTATTCAAGTAATTTGAACAAAATTGTTATTGTGAAACACCCACAAACAAGAACTAAGCCACTTCTGTGTTTAACAGTTGAAATTATGCACTAAAGAATAATTTTTTTACAATAGGGTGCGGTTAACCACAATTAGGAGATGAGACAAAAACATCTAAAGTTTTAATTTGTCTTTTCGAAATACTTCTTTCCAGTCTTCTGTTTTTAAATCCTTATGAACAAGTTTATACTAATGCCTCTTCTCCTTAGCAAGTTGTAGAAGTGGCTTTATGGTACTGACATGTCACAATAAATTGGCCTCGTTAAGTGTTTGTTTTACTGTTATAACAAAACTAATTTTTATCTTGAATCTGAGGGACAGTCAGTCATGTTTATCTGTTACTCTTTAAAATAATATGCTGATCATTTTTGGTAGATGTTATTGTAGATATTTCTGTATAAGCTTCATCATGCTGAATGTGTCTCCCTTCATATGAGTAATGGTGCTGTGCATCTGATGTTTTGGTAATTTTAGTTGTACAGCAATTAGCTCAGATTTCTTTTGCTTGTATAGTATGTGTAATGTGTATATTCCTATTCAGTTTGATGGAAATTTCTTTCCTTTTACACATTTTTATAGGGAAAAAAATTAAGCCTGTGAATTGAAAATCTTTGAAAAATATAGGTTCTGAGAGGGCAGCTAATTAAACTGATAACAGAAAAATATCTTAGCCCCACATATAAAAGGTGATATCCATTTCAGAGCGCATATCAAATGAAGGGCTATGGAAAGGTACCAATCCATTTAGAGATAAAAAAGCGAAAATGGAAATGAATATGGCATCTCCTGAGGGAAAAAGATGAGGCAATAGAAAAAACAGCACTACAATGAAACTTCCAGGGAAACAGAAGGAAAAGCAGACCACGAGAGATGCAGGTTTGTAGGAGGGAATTGGGCCGGGTTGGCAAATTTTGGAATGAGGCAAGAAAATCCTTCTTTGAGGCAATTAGCCGTTAATAGAGTCAAATGGAAAGCACATGCCATCGGCTCCAATGGGAGTCAAAAGAATTACTATATAAAAGGTGTCTGAGTGTAAATAAAACTCCAAACAAACATATTGTTTATTCACATGAATTATTAGTACTTTGTTGTTATTAATAACTAAAATATTAATTTCTTCTTAGTTATAATATTTCAATTGTTTTTCTAACTACTGCATAATACAATAAATTGTTAATACTAGTTACTCCAAGGTTATCTGTGTTTACACTTTATGTGTAATTAAGTTTTAAGGTGAATAAATCATATTAATTAATGTAAATAACAGGTGATCTTAAAATTTTGACTGACAGTGTATTTATTTAGATAATGGCAATATTTTCATTATGAAAAATACTATATTTAAATCTTAAGAAATATTCCTAGTTATTTTTTTGGAATTGAATGAGTACCTGCCACTCGTGCAATTAGTTATGACTTGGAACAGGTATGCCTTTTAAAATTCAGAGGAAAAATATCTACTTTTGAAAAGTAAACTTTGTTGTTGAAATTACTGTTAAATTATGACCTTTAAGTTCAAATTTATATATTATACTTCCAGAAAAATATGGGCGTAACCTAATATCTTCAATCTTAGGCATTGTTTTAGTTGACCCTTGTCAACCCTAAAAGTAATTTTATATGAAAAACTCTGTATGGTTTCTAGTCAGATTTTATTATGCCTAATATTATTACTTAACAGGCCTGTAGGTAGGTAATTATTCTATTATGATATAATCTTGCATCATTTTTTTCAGAGAGAAAAAGTTTAATCCTTTCTTTATTTTTTTCACAAATTAGTGTTCTATTAAGCTCCTGGAAAACATTTAAATATAGGCACTATGATTAATTACTATGATATCAAACGTGTGGAAAGTGAAGTTATCAATGGAGATAAAAATAGTCTAGGTTGATAAATCAACTTTATTTACACAAAATATCATAAATCTCATTTACAGTAAACCATCTCAACTGATATTTTCTTGGGTGGTTATTAGTCAAGACAATCAGTCCACTTTTTATAATATGAACATGACTTCAATACCTGCAACTTCCTCTGTGTGGGAAAACTGAAACACTCTATTTTCTCAGTTCTCCTATATATCTCCCGAAATCTTTTATCATTTTGGATTTTCCAACAAGCAACGAACAATCCATGGAAATTCTAGAGTGGTTTTTTTCATTTCAGGTATCATTAGTACACAAATATGGTTGTATATAAGTCAATATTATCTTATAATTAGAGACCAGATTTTCGTGCAGTAAAAAACTCAAAATCGTGCAGTATAAATCCAAAATACTTTAAAGTGTGTAATTAACACCTAAAAACGTGTAAAATCATCAATATTGTTTAATTTATAACATTAATACATTGAAATCTTATCAGATCTTGTGTTAACTGAGAAATAAAAAAATTGAAATGTAACATTGAAAATGAAATTCCAGATTATAATCAACTATTATAATAACGATTATTATCAACTAATGCAGAGCATTGAAGATTTGAAAGAATAAATGAAGGCAGGAATTATAGGTGCCTATGTATATATTACATAGATCAGACCAATTTTAGATATATCACTTTTATTAATAATATTAATGAGAACTTAATTTTTTAATAGAGTTGAAGTTGCCAATATAATACATTCCCAAATTTTGACTGTGTGTTTGAGATTTTTAGGTGTTCAAAAATTAGTGTTGAAGCTGTTTTTCTATACCACTAAAAATATTTATTTTGGGGGATTACGTTCTTTCTAAAAAAACATTCAATTCTTTGATAAGAATATGTTTTCTTACTTATTTCCCAATGAGCGTCTTAACAGTGATTTCCTATCACCAGATTGATTCATAAGGTGTATAGAACTGTCTCATCAAATTCTTTGTTCTCACATTTCAAATCGGGGGAGAGAGAGGGTATTTTTAAATCCAAATTTTAATTTTTGGCGGGAGGTTAGATTTTACTTTAAGCAATATAATTTTTTTTTCGTTATAAGAATGAAATTTCTATAAATCAATTCAAAGCCAGAAGTGATACTGAAGGGTTGAACGATGAGAGGAGAAACAGTCCAAAGCAATAACTACAAATGTCTTACTAACAAAGCAGCTTTTTATTTTTCAATACTTTAGGCAAGTTCTATTCCAAGAATACATCTCACTTGTGTTTACTTCTTCATTTTGTAATGAATACGAATTTTCACTTCACACAGAATTATTTGCTTTCCTCATATTTTTCTATTTGAATAATGAATTTAATTTGAACAATATAGTAAAATAAAAAGTAATAGTTAGAAAACACTACATAAATATTAATACACTCCCTTATACATTTGCAATTATCGAATTTAGCACAAAAGTGCAAAAATGTGCAATTTATTGCAACAAAAATCAAAAACGTGCAATATAAAATTTAAATATGTTATTCTATAGGTTCTGAAACAGATAGATGTTCGGGTCCGGAGTTTTTACATGCAAGCGAATAAAAAGTGCAATAACATGGAAATCCGGTCTCTACTTATAATAAAAGGCTTAACGAACCCAAAGGTTCAATACTAATACCAATAATTGTCCCCACACAAATCTTCATCTACTGCTGCCCAACCCATCTCTGTCAGATCAGTTTTCACACAATCTAAGTCCAATGTTAAAGGCCCATTTTATTCGCTACAATGTAATCACCTAACTTATATTAAGCTGGTACAGATCATACAATTTAACGTTGTGTAACCATCTAAAGTCTTTGGTTGACTCATTCTTCTTTGATTCAAATATTCTATACAATACTTTATTTTCAAAAACCTTAATACTTATTTTAAAAACATAATTGCTAATTAAACACCTTT